AGGTTGGGCAATCCTACTTCTGTAGTGATACTGCCTTGGAAACCCAAGGAGGGGTCGCTATGAGTCGGGGTTGACTCGACAGCACATAACAACAACAACAACAACAAGGGAGACAAATTTTTCAGTTTGTCGTTCTGTGGTGGTTGCTAAGACAGACTTGGAAGAAGAAAGAAGCCATGCACTTCTCAAAGAATTGGCCAGTGAAAATCTTAGGAATAGCAGTGAAACACTCTCTGATTTATTACTGGAAAACTTTATGAATAGCCCTGAAACATTGTCCAATATAGTTCTGGAAAAAGAGCCCCTGAGGTTGGAAGGCACTCTAAATATGACTGGGGCAGGGCTGTCTCCTCAGAGTAGAGCTGACCTTAATGATGTGGATACATTAAAGCTTTTGAGACCTCCATTTGCTGATGTGGCATGACATAAGATGAAAAGAAACAGCTACAAACATCCATTAATAATCAGAACATGGAAATTACAAAGTATGAATCTAGGAAAATTGCAAGTTGTAACGAATGAAATGCAATGTATAAAGAGCAATATCCTAGGCAACAGAGAGCTGCAGTGGACTGATTTGGCCATTTGGAATCAGAGAATTATATGATCTACTATGCCAGGAATAACACATTGAAGAGGAATGACGTGGCATTCATCATCACAAAGAATATATCAAGATCAATCCTGAAGTACAAAGCTGTCAGTGATAGGAAAATATTCATACATTGACAAGGAAGACCAGTTAATTATTTAAAATTTACACACCAACCACTAAAACCAAAGATGAGGAAATTAAAGATTTTTTTTACCAACTTTCACAGTCTCAAATTAACCATACATGCAATGAAGATGTGTTGATTATCAATGGTGACTGGAGTGCAAAAGTTGGAAACAAAGAAGAATCACTGGTAGTTGAAAAATAAGACTTTGGTGATAGAATTAATGCTGGAGAACACATGATAGAATTTTGCCAGACCGATGACTTATTCATTGCAAATACTTTTTTATTTTTTTTTAAACATCACAAAAGCTGACTATACACATGGACTTCATTAGATGGAGTACACAGGAATCAGATTGACTACATCTGTGGCAAGAGGTGATGGAGAAGCTCAATATCTTCAGCCAAAACAAGGCTAGGAGCTGACTATGGAACAGACAATCAACTGCTCATATGCAAGTTCAAGTTGAAGGTGAAGACAATTAAAAGAAGTTCAGGAGAGCCAAAATATGACCTTGATTATATTCCTCCTGAATTTAGAGACCATCTAAAGATTTGATGCACTAAACACCATGACTGAAAACCAGAGGAATTGTGGAATGATATCAAGAACATCATCCATGAAGAAAGCAAAAGGTGATTAAGAAGACAGGAAAGGCAGAAAAGATAAAAATGGATGTCAGAAGAGACTCTGAAACTTGCCCTTGGAGAGACAGTAGCTAAAGCAAATGGAAGAAATGACAAGATAAATGAACTGAACATGAGCTCATATAGAGCCGCTTGAGAAGACAAAGTCAATTATTATAACAAAATGTACAAAGACCTGGAGTTAGAAAACCAAAAGGGAAGAGCATGCTCAGCATTTCTCAAGGCTGGAAAGAACTGAAGAGGAAATTTAAGACTCAAATTGCAATATTGAAGGATTCTACAGGTAATAATATTGAATGATGCAGGAAACATCAAAAGAAAATGGACAGTGAACAAGGAAGACCGAAGAAGAGTTGATGCTTTTGAGTTGTGGTGTTGGTGAATAATACTGAAAGTATCGTGGACTGCTAAAAGAACTAACTAATCTGTCCTGGAAGAAATGCAACCAGAATGCTCCTTGGAAGTGAGAATGGCCAGACTTTGTCTCACCTGCTTTGGTCATGTTACCAGAAGGGACCATTCTCTGGAGAAGGACATTATGCTTGGTAAAGTGGAGGGTCAATGAAAAAGAAGAAGGCCCTCAACAAAGTTGATTGACACAGTGACTGCATCAATGGGCTCAGGCATAGCAGGGATCATGAGGCTGGCACAGGACCAGGCAGTGTTTCGTTCTGCTATACATGGGGTCGCTATCAGTCAGAGATGACTTGTTGACGCCTAACATAACAATAACAGGGTCACTCATGGTGGACAGGTTTCAGCAGAGCTTCCAGACTAAGACAGACTGGAAAGAAGGACAGGCCATACACTTTGGAAGAAAATGGCCACTGAAAACCTAATGAATAGCAGTGAAACATTGTCTGATACAATGCCAAAAGATTGACCCCTCAGGTTGGAGGACACTCAAAATACAACTGGGGAAGAGCTGTCTCCTCAAAGTAGAGTTTACTTTAGTGATGTGGATGGAGTAAAGCTTTGGAGACCTTCACTTGCTGATGTGACCTGACTCCAAATGGGATGAAACAGCTGCAAACATTCATTAATAATTGGAATGTGGAATATATGACTATGAATCTACGAAAATTGGAAGTTGTAATAAATGAAGTGGAATGGATTATGATTGACCTAGGCATTAGTGAGCTGATCTGGACTGTCATTGACTATTTTGCATGGAACAATAATGTTATCTACCACACTGGGAATGACATATTGAAGAGCAATGGTTTCACATTCATTGTCACAAAGAACATTTCAAAGTGTATTCTGAAGTGCAATGCTGTTGGAGTAGGATAATATCTATATGCTTACGTGGAAGACCAGTTAATACTGGTATTATTCAAACTTATGCATCATAAAGCGAAAGTTGAATTAAAGATTTTTACCAACTCTGCAGTCTGAAGTTGACCAAACATGCAATCACTCCTACTAGGATGACTAAAAAAAAGAGCCCGTATTCTTCACTGGTTAAGTGCTCGGCTGTTAACAAAAAGGGCTTATCAGAGAAAGATGTGGCAATGGGCTTCCATAAGGATTTCAGCCTTAGAAACCTTACGGGGCCATTCTACTCTATTCTTTAAGGTCCCTGTGGGTTGGTAACGACTTGAGAGCAACGGTTCAGTACCCCCCCCCCACCTTTTAAGATAGCTAAGATAAAAACAAATAAAAACAACCACAACAAAAATACAGAAATAACAAATGTGGATGATGTGGGAAAATTGGAACCTTTATCCATTGCTAGTGGCAATGCAAAATGATACAACCATTGTGGAAAACTGTGTGATGCTTCCTCAAAAAACTAAAAATAGAACTACTATGTAGCCCTGCAGCCCTACTTCTTGGAGTGTGTGTAAGTGTGTGTAGTTATTATTCTCAATCTTTTGAGAGTAAATTGCAGATATGAGAAACTTTTACCTCGAAGTACTTATGTATTTCGTAAGAAGAAGAACATTCTCTTATATGAGCACAATACAGTTGTAAAAATAGGAAATTTAATATTGTTTAATTACTGCTATCTAGTGGCTAAAGCACTTGACTGCTAACCAGAAGGCTGGTGGTTCAAACCCACCAGCCACTCCTCGGAAGGAAGGTTGGGCAATCGTACTTCCGTAGTGATACTGCCTCGGAAACCCAAGGAGGGGTCGCTATGAGTCGGGGCCGACTCGACAGCACATAACAACAACAACAACATAGTTCATATTTAGATTATTCCAAAATTTTCTAGTCCTTTATTGCAATTTTCCCCCCACTACAAATGGAACCCAAAAGCCTTGGAGCCATAAGATAGCTATTTGTAGATGGTACATGTAAAACTCCTTAATTTACAATTTTCTGCAACACAATTGGCAAGTATGTTATTGACAAAGCAGAGAAAGGGGCTTCAGAAAACGACAAAGTACACTATTTTAAATTGTATTTTTACAATCTAAACAATATTTTAAATGTTGTTTCTTTTCATTTATTGTGCTGAATGTGTTTCTTTTTGTTGTTATGGTTGTGTGCTGTGGAGTCAGAACAGACTGATAGCGACCCCTCCTTGGGTTTCCGAGGTAGTATCACTATGGATGTAGATTGCCCAACCTTCCTTCTGAGGAGTGGCTGGTGGGTTTGAACCATCAGCCTTCTGGTTAGCAGTCAAGTGCCTTAGGCACTATGCTAGCAGAGCTCCTTCTAATATAATATTTTTAAAAAATACTTAAAATGGCATTTATTGGTTTATATATGCTACAGATCTTGTCCTCTACAAATTTAATTCTTGAGATAGAAATGGAGTGTAGTATACTGCTGTGGAGTCGGATCCAACTCACAGCGATTGTTGCTTGGGTTTCCGAGGTGGTATCACTATGGAAGTAGATTGCCCAACCTTCCTTCTGAGGAGTGGCTGGTGGGTTTGAACCGCCAGCCTCTGGTTAGCAGTCAAATGCTTTAGACACTACATCACCAGAGCTCCTTCTTGAGATGGAAGCACTATTAAATACTTTATGGAGTCCTGGTCACACAGTGGTTAGTAGCACTTGGCTGCTTATTGAGAAATCTAACTCACCAGCTGCTCTGTGGGAGAAAGATGTGGTGGTCTGCTTCTGTTAAGATTTACTGCTTGGAAACCCTATGAGGCAATTCTACTGTGTCCTGTAGGGTCACTATCAGTTAGAATTGTCTCGAGTTGAGTTGTTGTTATATACTATAATTTATATTAAATTACTAATTATTTTCTGTTAAAGAGCCTAAATGTTAGCCTTGTTGTTGTTGTTGTTATGTGCCATCAAGTTAGACCTGACTCATGGAGACCCCTCCTTGAGTTTCCAAGGCAGTGTTACTATGGAAGTAGATTGCCCCATCTTCCTTCCGAGGAGTGGCTGGTAGTATTAAAAAAAAAAAAAAAAACAAGAAGACTTTATTATTAGAGAAAACAATAAGCACCTTTTATTCAGGATTTTTAAGTAGACAATATATTTTGACTTGAACAGTATTTAAATAACAACTGGTAATAGATAATTTTAGGAGATTGCTCATTGTTCTGCTTAAGAATTAGCTCTGATTTTATGTTATGTCATGATTGTCTGAGAGATGCTATGTCATGTCAAGTTATCACATACCATGCTTGGAGACTACTCATGCCACTTTTACTCCACAGGAAAATGACTCAGGCACTTTGGACACAGTAGGTGCTGTGGTTGTGGATCAAGAAGGTAACGTTGCTGCTGCTGTTTCCAGTGGAGGCTTGGCCTTGAAACATCCAGGGAGAGTGGGACAGGTAATTAATTATGGGTTTTTAAACCAGTGTTTCAAGTTAAAGCATGACATTTTTATCTCACAGTTTCTTAGACAAATAGGGACATTTTTCTCCTTTAGGAAAAATAAATTATATCATTGTTCTTTAACATTTATTTAGTATAAATCATCAACCTTTTCAAAATTGCAATAATTATAATTGTTTATAGTCTAGAATGCTCCCTAGAACCCAGGATGGTGAGACTTTGTCTCACTTATTTTGGACATGTCAGTTGCTTCAGAAAGACATCATCCTTGGTAAAGTGTTTTTTTTTTTTTTTTTTTTTTAAATGGAAACCCTCAATTAGATGAATTCACATTGTGGCTGCAACAATGGGCTGAAAATACCAAGGATTTTGAGGCGGTGGGGACTGGGCATACTTTTGATCTGTTATTTATTAGGTTGCTGTAAGTTGGAGCTGACTCCAAAGCACTTAACAACAATAATTCTGTTTCACCACTTTCAACAGGTTTCACACTGGCCTGGGTATTTATTAGACATTTAACAAATATGTGTTGATTTCCATTTTCTTTACTTGTAAATGTCACATTCTTTAGGAACAAGCAGTATCCAAGTATATTGCCGATTGCTGTTTAGGAGAGAAAATGATTTTAGAATTGTCTATTTTATATCTTCCTTAAGGAACATTTAGCTTTTGACTCTACATTCCTCCTCTGGTTAAGCATTTCAGCCATTTTGTAGACTAGGTAGTATTTCAGGTTGCTGACACATGAGATCATTCTTGAAGCCTAGAAAGAAGGGTCTGATTTCTGTGAAACTTGCTTATTCCCATTTTGTGTGTAGGTTCTCGTCAACCTCCTCCCCAAATTCCAGTCTTTAGTTATATAATGGGGAGCTCTGGTGGTGTAGTGCCTAAGGCATTTGGCTACTAACCAGAAGGCTGGCGGTTCAAACCCACTCGACACTCCTCGGAAGGAAGATTGGGCAATCTACTTCTATAGAGATGTTGTTGTTCTTGTTGTTATATGCCGTCGAGTTGGACCCGACTCATAGCGACCCCTCCTTGGGTTTCCGAGGCAGTTATTACTGCGGAAGTAGATTGCCCCATCTTCCTTCCAAGGAGTTGCTGGTGGGTTTGAACCACCAGCCTTCTGGTTAGCAGTCGTGCCTTAGGCACTACACTACCAGAGCTCCTCAGAAACCCAAGAAGTGTTGCTATGAGTCAGAAAATGACTCAACGGTGGTGAGTTAGGTTTTTTGTTTTCAAGTTATATACTGAGAATAAAAGTTAACAATTCATTTGCTTTAGCTAGCTTTTTGAGTATAAACCAGTTTGGAACAATACTTAGGGGCTTATTAAATATTTGTTGAGTGAACAGATGAATTGGACATGCTCATGGAGTTTGCTAAAGCACTTGCAAGGGTTGTGTTTCTGCTTGGTCTTTGAATCTTGGGTTACATATGGAGCATTGTTTGGCATGCTGTATTTGCTTTGTTCTTCACATTTGAAGAATAGTTAGTGTTTAGTTGGTTTGGTCATGGTGGTTAGGAAATGTGTGGAGCAAGGTGATCTGATACATGGCGAACATCTTTGCAAAGCCCTTAAGTGCTAGTCCTTGATCTGCTCTTTATTGTGGATAAGACACTTAGAATCCTATGCTGGGAGATGAGGAGAGTAATAATTAAGTTTGTGATACTCTTTGCCTACCATATAAAAGGATTTATGGAAAATAATTGCTCAACATATGTATAATGCTTTGAACTTATTATAACAAGACTTTGTCTGGTCATGGTGCTTTTCCACGTTATAAAAATCCTGTGTGTTTCTGAAGTTTGGAATTAGAAAATCAAACTCGGCAGATCAGATTTGGATGTGCAGTGGAGAAGGAGAGATAAGCCAGCAGGGCCATATTTGTTACATAGTAATTCCCGGTACTGTCTCACTGTTTTCTGTTTGTTTTGGTTAGCATAATAACAAAAACAAGGGCAAGGATGGCCCTGGACTATGTTAGCAGGATATTACATCTAACAGTCTTGAAGCCATTCTGCTACTGCACATGGGACTGACTGGGAAAAAGAAATACTTTATAGAACTTAGATGTTGATTTGCCCCCCTCCCCCCCTTGGGTAGTTTATGAAAAGCGTTTGTGAGAGATGAAAATGTAGAAAGGATGTGGAGGAGAGGAGTAAAGGTATTTAAAGGAAAATGTAGTTTCTTAATGAGATTATATTGCTTGGATAGAGGAGCTCTAAGAAATAAGTAATCATCAGATGCGAGGTAAAGAGCTTGTCTTGATAATCAGGATGATCTTTTATTTAGGCTGATGCAAAAGAACTTGGTTGCAGAATGGTATGAAAACAAAGGCAAGTTGTATCAAACATACATTATTAAAAAAAATTCTAAAACTAGTATTTTTAAATACATATTTAGTACACAAATGAGCTGTTTAAAAATTTTAGCATATTACTCTATTCTAGATATGTGATAACATTCAGATATTGAAATGTCACTTTGAATTAGAAATTATTTGATTCTTTAGTTTATCATCAAAATTAGAATTTACAAGTTGGACATGAGAAAATACTTCTGTGTCCTACCCTCTCCCTCCCAAAACACACATACACTTACATGTACACACACACAGAGAATCAGTTGAGTTTAGTAGTTAAGACCATGGTTTTTGGTTTTACATAAACCTTTACTGTAATTCCAACTCCTTACTATGTTACTTACTTACTATGTTACTTAAGACAAGTTACTCAACATCTTTTAGCTTCAGTTCCTGAAACTGTAAAATGAAGGTAAATAGCTACCTTACAAAGTTTTAGCAGATTAAATGCAATAATGCATTTAAATTATTTATCACAACTCTTAGTAATATCAGGTGTACCTTCTTTTAATAAATTATTGTTATGTGTCAGACACTGTGATCAACGTGTTAATTCATGTGATTCTGTAACAAAACTGTGAGGTGAATATTTTTGCTATCTTCATTTTAGAGTAAAGTAAGGTCCAGAGAAGATTTGATGATATTAATAGTAATTAAATAATAATGTCATTTATATAAATGACTTTACTACATGATAATACCTCTAATACATTTTTCATACAATTCTACTACCAAAAACAAGAAGTTTTGATTTAGTTTTTTTTTTTTTTCAGACCTGCTTACGGTTGCTATGTTTTGACTAAAGAAGTGAATAAGAAACCTCTAATTCTTTCTCTTATCTTGCCTGTCATTATCTCAGCCTAACCAATCTCAGAATGTTTAGAAGATAGACAACTTTAGGTTGTGAAATTGGTGTTGGAAGGTATTACAAAGGAAATTTTCTTAGAGAGGAAAAGTAAAGGAGAGAATAAATTTTCTTACTTTTCTAGAAAAAGATGATCTCCACTAGATTTCTAAACAGTGCTGCATTTTACTATTTTATTTATTTAATTTTGATTTCTTGGTATTGTGTGGTCTCCTGGCCAATGCTAATTGCAGAAATGTAAAGGACAATAGGCAAATGTCTAGGACTTTGGATGAAGGAAGAACAGGCCCTTCCACTAGGATGCCGTGCTCTCTGAGGCTTTGGTTGACTCAGCGCTTGTCTCAGGGTGTTTTAGTTATATGGTGCTATTATAGCAGAAATACCACAAGTGGTTGCTTTTAACAAAAAAAAATTATTTCTTTGAGTGCAGAAAACTTAATCTCTTTTATATCTCAAAATAGACTGATTTAAAACATACTGTATACTAATCCTGTCTCATTAGCATGACAAAGACAACACATTCCCAACTGGGATTATAACAACAGGCATAGAAGTTTGTATTTACAACACATATTTTTTTTGGGGACATGGTCCAATCCATAACATTCCATTTCTTGGCCCCCCCAAATTCATGTCCTTACCACATGCAAAACAATTCACCCTATCCCATCATCCTGAAAGTCTTAAACCAACTCCAAGTCTGAAATCTCACCTTCTGAATCATCTAAATAAATATGGGTGAGACTTTAGGTATATTCCATTTTGGGGCAAAATTCTCTTCATCAATAGACCTGTGCAATCTAGAATACAAATTATCTATTTCCAAAATACAATGGTGGAAGAGGTACAAGGTAGACATTTCCATTACATATTGGAGAAATTGGAAAGAAAAAAAGGATAATAGGCACCAAGCAAGTCCATAACCTAGCAGAAAAAATTATATTAGCGCTTAAGGCTTGAAAATAATCCTTTCTTCTCTGAGACCATCGGGCAATGGCCCCACCCTCCAGACTCTGTATTTTGGCTATACCTTTTGAATTCTAGACGGAGCCCTATTGGTTCTGGGCTTCAGCTCCACCTTCCAAGCCCTCTGGGATGGAAATTCTGCTCCCTTGGCTGTAGATGACCCCATTCTCGTAGTTTATCTGAGTGATGACCTCACCTCCTTGGCCCTGGTAAGCCCTGTTTTTTAACCTCTTGGGCATAGCAGCCCTGCCTTCTTAGCTTTGGTCAGTGGCCCCATCTTCCTGGCACACCTTAATGTCAGCCCTACTCTCTGGAACTCAGTTCACGCTTTGAAACCTAGGAAGCTGTGGCCCCAGTCTTTGAGAACCAGGAGACCTTGGCCCCATCCTTTGAAGGGAAGAAAACCCTGCTTCCTGTACTGCTTCCCCCAGTTCTGCTAATCTGAGAGCTGCTGCAGGGATAGTCCTTTTCTTTTCTCAGAGGACAATAGATATAGCCCTTTGCCCTGTCTCTGCCCTGTACAATTGCAAGAGGCAGATAGCGTCCCTTCTCTGTCCCCTTTAGTCTAAGCTGATGGGATTCCTGCTGTGGTGGTTAGATCCATCAATCACAGGCTAATTCTCTTTAAGGAGATTGTGAAGCCACATCCTCGGTTCACATTTTAAGATACATGTCCTTAGTTTGTACAACAATTTCGCAGATCCTTTTGGTTTGTTTTCATGTGCACAATTATATTTTAAATCCAGCTCTTTCCTCTCTCATTTTACTATAAGTAACAAGAAGAAACTGCATCTCCTTTA